ACCAACGTGACTCGGAGTGACCGACTGAAAGGGAACCTAAAAGGTCAATACTATATTTTTTACAGTAAAAATCTGGCAACCAATAGCTGACATTTTTATTTGTATTTTTTTACAGTGGATGTATAACTGTCACATAAAAATCATCTTTAATATAGATCTATGTATGCATATCTCCATATCAGTAGATACTGATATCTCAGATGAACAATGAATGACACATGACATATTGCACCATGTCAGGGCGGGGTCAGCAGAGCTCATTAACATTTAAAGGGAAATGCTACAAAAACGGCTTGATCTGAAAAGAGCTGTTTTTGACAGGATAAAAAAAGGTGTTTTTACACTACCATTGAGAAATTTTAACCAAACTATGTTACAGACTTTTCATTAAGACCCTAAATAATCATATCAACTTGTGGATAATGGGCATCATATGACCCCTTTAACAAAAATTAAAGCCAAAATGGAAAATCCATGTGTGACAAAGTTAGGACAGTCAGGCACTGCTAATCGTATACCTCTAAATAACTGATCATCAGCAAGTGCGAGCATCCCTATAAAAGCAGAAGTTTTGGTGGTTTGCTGGTCTGGGGCCTTCAGGTGTGTGTTAACACAATGCAAAGGAGGAGACAGGAGACAGACGTCAGCAGCTGGAGCTACAGCTGGAATAAAGATGATTCAGTGATTCATTTCAGTCAATCACAGGAATACCGAATCAGTTCTGTTAATGAATCTCACACGGGTAATTACAGCTGTGCTGGAAGAGAAACATGAGGATCACGATACTCACACACCAGTGATAAAGTTACACTGACCGTATCAGGTGAGTGTCTTCATCTCTTCTTCACATCACTCTCACTACATGAATAAAAATGAACAGAACATGATTTACAAACAGGTCCAAGCGGCAGTACATTCAAACTCATATAAGTTTCATTGCTCACTAAGATCAGTGTATCTTGTTAAATTTGTACTTTAACAAAACAAGTCCAATGAAATATATTAGATAAGTCTAATATATTTTCATGTTCATGAAATTGTCTGATTATGTTTCATGTCTTTAAGCTCCATCATCAGTTCTCAAACTGCTCAGTTTTCTGCAGGCAGCTTCTCCATATCTGCTAGTGTCCATCATACTGAGAGTCAAATGCTACAGAGGTGAAATCTCTCTCTTTCTCATCTGTCCTGCTACAGATGGGTTTATGATCTATTGTTGTTAACTTTTATTAAAATGTCACTTATTCCAAGTTTGGGTGTTTTACAGTTCAGACTGATGAGAGTGATCAGTATGCTGTTACAGAGGAGTGAAAGTCTACAACTGTGATGAATGAATCCCATCAGTATTCTGTTTAACAATATCATTGGGTCTGAATTAGACAATAATCTCTAGGCTCAAATTAACTCTGCTTGAGTCACATTCGTTCACTATTTTAATAAATCTTTGCATGACACACTGTAAAAGTCTCTAACAGTAAATAATAATAATAATAATAATTTGTTACATTTATATAGCGCTTTTCTAGGCACTCAAAGCGCTTTACATTGTCAGGGGGTATCTCCTCATCCACCACCAGTGTGCAGCATCCACCTGGATGACTTTTTACAGTATAGTGTCCCCGTCACTATACTGGGGCGTTAGGACCCACACAGACCACAGGGTGAGCACCCCCTGCTGGCCTCACTAACACCTCTTCCAGCAGCAACCTAGTTTTTCTCAGGAGGTCTCCCATCCAGGTACTGACCAGGCTCAGCCCTGCTTAGCTTCAGTGGGCAACCAGTCTTGGGCTACAGGGTGATATGGCTGCCGACAAAATGTTAAAATAAATTCTAAATTTAGTTCATGACAAGCAAACTGTTGAAAACAGTAATATTTTGGCAAACTTGCTGCCAGTAGCTTACTGTAAAATTACTGTGAATTCACATTGCACTTAAAAGAAAAAAAAAGTTTTATGAAATCCATTAAATGCTATTAAGTGCAAGTTCATGTGTTTTCCCACATAATGATATGGGGGTCGATCTATTCGGGTTTAATATTCTGTTGGGATTTAAAGGGTTTCTATTTGTCTGAGTTTTGTTGGTTATCAGTGCGCTGAAGAGTAGAGCCTGTGTTCAAGTCGTGGAGCAGAGAAATACTGATGTTCTGCTGCATGTCACTTTTTATTTATATTTCATGAAATTGCTCAACCTGAACCTGGTTTCCACTTGTTTGGTTCTAAAAATCTGGATGAAATGTGTATGATGGCATAAATTTCTACATGGAGACATTGGTGTGCTAAATTAGTATAGATTAGTAATGTTTTCCTCACAGCAGGACGTACAGGAAACAGAAAATTGATACCATTGTTTATTTAATGAAATGTAATCCTTTTATTAAATGTCAGATTAAACACATTTGAAAGTCTTACATGATCAAGTAAATTATATAATTTGTTTCTAGAGATTATATTAAAGTGATTACACAACGTATAAGATATATGAATGTTGCTGTATTGAAGTCATAAAACATAATTTCAAGAATAACAGTGTTGAAATAACATATATATCCCCAAAACACACAGGAAAATTATGATTAAATGTAAAGTAATTGATATTCTAAAGATTATATTAAAGCGATTACACAGAGTATACGCTATATGAATGTCTCTGTAATAAAATCATAAAATATTATTTCAAGAATAATGCTGAATATATATTTTCCCTGAAAACCCCTGAAATTATATGTAGAATAACTGATACATAAAATCAGTAGGAAAATGAAAGAATGTATGTGTTGCATGTATAATTTGCCTTAACATTACAGATCAGATTCTTTAGTATTCACTTTGATATCAGTGTAAGTGATGCCTTTGTATTGGCCATTGGTTTCATACTGTAGCACACTGCCGTTCTTGCAAGTGATCTTCAGTGTGCCTGTGTAAGGCAGGTCAAACGCGGCTCTGCCGATGGTGATGTCAACCTCCACCTTCTTTTTAGGCGGTACGTCAAAAGGGAAGGTCAGAGTTTCGGTTCTCTCATCGGTGTGCTCATGACCATAACTGCTTTCTGTTCCAACGCTGACACTGAATCCTGTAGAAAGATCTACAATCCCTGGAATCCCTGCCTTCACTTCCACACTAAATGTTGCTGTAAAGCTGTTACTCATGGACCATGAGGATGTTTTGGTCACTTTCTTTGAAGTTTCGACTGTTTGCTGTTGGTTAGCGGAGGTGTCATTTGTGTAAGTCATGGATTTGATCTCTTCCACTGCCACCTTTGGTATTAGTTGGTGGAGAGTGGGATAGTTGACATTGGTGAGAACTGTTGTTTGAACTGCATTGAGAAACATGAATCCTATGCGGGTAATACCTGCACCAGCTCCTCCCTCAACTCCCAGACAAAACCCAGAGCCGACATCCATGGGATGTTCTGTTGGTAGTGAGTGTTTGGTCATTTTTGCAAAAAATTCTCCACCTTGGTTGGTCTTGAATTTGATGGCTCCAAGGCGTTTTTCTCCATTGCCCCACAGGGACAGTGAGGTGAAACACTCACCAGACTTGAATGCATACTCTTTATACCGTCCGGCTGGTTGTCCAAAGGTTTCACTTCTGCCATCTGAAAGCCAAACCTTGACAGCCTTCACCTGGCATTCTCCCAGCCACACCCCAATCTTCTCTAAATTGGCACCATTCTTCTCACCTGTAAATGAAAATGAAGCACCTCCTTCACAACCAAATTTTTGCACAGTTGTTGGTTCGGACATCTTTAAAGTGGATCTGGAAATTAGATCACAGAAGAACATTCAAATTAACATCAGATATAAATCAAGTGCATTAATTAATTATCAGTGCTGGGAAGGTTACTTTTAAAATGTATTTCAATACAGATTACAAAATACATGCTTTAAAAGGTAATCAGTAATGTATTTCATTAGATTACTCAGGTTTAGTAGCTTAATCTAAATACTTTAGAATACTTTGAAATACTTAAGCTGTACACAAAGGAACATATTAATGTCTTGTTTTTATGTTTTCCAGCTCTAAATAAAAGTGACATCTACCAGTCATAAGATTTGCGTTTTCCTTCAGTTCAGTTTTCCACAGCATTACTATGAACAACAAAAAAATGTTGTGTGGCCATTCAACTGAGACTGCGTTACTGTCAGTTACGGAAGCCTTGCGAATGGCAAAAGCTTATTCCATATCATCAGTTCTTACTCTGCTGGATCTATCTGCTGCTTTTGACACTGTCTCAAAATCAAAAGGCTCAAAATCACTTTCCAGAACATTCTCGTTCACCGTTCCTGGCTGGTGGAATGATCTTCCCACTCCTATCCGGAATGCTGAATCCCTGACAATTTTCAAGCGACAGCTGAAATCTCATCTCTTTAAACGCTACTTGACTTCATCTTAGAAATTTTTTTAATTTTTTCTCTTTATTTATTCCTTCCCTTTTCTAGCTTGTACTTATTTGAACAATGCCTAAAACTTGGTATTTCAAGCACTTCCTGTGTCTGTTTGCCTCTTTAAGAAGAATCGCTTTATGTATTCCCCAATTGTAAGTCACTTTGGATAAAAGCGTCGGCAAAATGACAAAATGTAATGTAAATGTAAAGTCCTTATGGAAACGGCTGCGTGATTTTGGTTCTGGAACGGACTTTCTGACAACAATGAATGGGATTCCGTGCTGTTTCATGCTCCATTCCAAGCTTCAAAACGAATCCAAACACACCAAACATAACAAAAGTAGCCAAAACAACTGGCACAGTTCTCCAAGTTATACAATAGATTCGTTTAATGAATGGACCAAACTTTGCTTTTGGGAAACACATCCCAGATCTATGGGACATTCTACCAGAAATGTACATGATCTGTCCTTGACTTGTTACAGTGAATAAAAAGTATTACATCCAAAAAATGTCTAAAACTGACTGATGGTTGATTTCTGTGAGTTGTTCTGTAAAGGAATATGTCATTCATTAGGTTCTCAGATATTTTTTAATTTATTAAAAACACTTTTGAAAATTACAAATCCTGTCCTTGTCCTTGTCCTCAGCCAAATTTGACCTACAGTTTTCATAGTTTTGTTATGCTAAAAAAACTGTTATTTAGAAAAAAACTCAATCAATAACAAGTTTATGTTGTTATCATTCACATCAACTGATTAAAAACATGAAATTATACATAAATTATACAAATAAATACTATTTTATAACTGTCCCCATGTTTTCGGTCAGTCCTGTCAACATAAAATGTGTGTAATGCACCTTTTACTGAATTCCTTGATTGCATGTTAACAGTTTTTATGCTAGCATGCTAGCAGGTTGAGTAATGGCAGTTTAAAATGGCCGACTGTCAGGCCCTGTCACATCAGGTCCTGTCACATCCCTGTGTGTGAGGGCCTGACAGTCCTGTTAACTGGAGAAAATTTTTCAAAGATCAAGAACAACTTCCCTCAAGATGCTTTTTCAGATTAGACGTTGAATCCTTCATGCTGATAGAAGTTTTGTTGCAGGTAGGCATTGCATTGCGTTGAGATGTTACGTCCTTTTTCAGTTGCCTTATTGGTTAAAATCCCCAAACTTAAATATTAAATTAAGAAATGAAAATTCAAAGTAATCACTTTGGTAATCTAAAATACTTTTCGGAAGTAACTGTAATTTGATTACCACCTATTTGAAATGTAATTATAACGAAATACAGTTACTCATATTCTGTATTTTAAATACGTAAATCCATTACATGTATTTCGTTACTCCCCAGCCCTGTTAATTATCCCTGGAAGACACAGGGCCCAATTGTATAATTATAAGCTTCTACAAAGTATCAAGTTGTTTGATACACAAATTACATTTTAAGTGCCCATTACTAGAAATATACTCACATAGATGACTGTAGTCTGATGAACTTTTTCTTAAGATCAGCTCGCCTGGTGAAAGCCAGAAAAGTGAGATGGTTTTGAACAGGTTGCTGCTTAAATAGAGCTCCAAAGGAGGCAGGAGGTGTGGTTAAAGGTGGGGTAAGCGATTTCTGGTAGCCAATGTTGACATTTGAAATCACCAAAACAAACACAACGCCCCTACCCCAAAAGGGTCTCGCCCCTATTTTGATAGCTCCGCCCCACATATACGTACGCAACCCAGGCAACG